ATGTCTTTTAGATAGCATTGAAATAGTCACCTCCTTTTGCATTGAAAATTTAATTTAAATAAGGAAATGTCCTACTCCCGCGGTCTCCCCTCATTCAGCCTTTTTTAACGACACGTGAGCATATTTTTGGTGATCCTGTCACTAGAAAAGATAGTAGCTGAGGGGAAATTTCGTACCCTAGGGCGTATTTCATTTCCTCCAGAAAATAAGAGGAAAATTTAAAAAGTTTTTGTTTTTCAACTCTAATGAGCCATCATTCCTACTATTTTCTCAGCACAAAAGTTAATTTGAGACATACGCATAACACGCAATATAAAGTTTCCATTCCTTCCTATGGTTAAGGTAGGCATCAGCCATGCGCTGTTTTGCCAGGATGTAAGCAGGTCTATCAGACGCAACAGCAGAGAGCTGTGCAAGAGCAGCCTCCAAATTTCCTTCTGCCAAATCCATGTCAGCTGCTATAATTGCAAGCCTGTCCATCTCCAATGTGTTGGCATATGCTTTCCTAGCTTCTGCCAATATCTTCCTTGCATCTTGCTACAGCAGGTAATGAAAGTGTTAAATGCACTGCGCCTATTAACTTTAAGTGTAGTCGCCATGTTGGAGGCAACCGACCATTTTATCCATCTTCTTGTAGGCGTAGATCAACTCGGTGTATATTGTGATCCAAAACTCGGAGTATATCAATTTTGATGACATTTCCGTTGATCGTCCTGGTGCGTCGGGATTAGCTATTGTTTCATTGAGCACCTTTATGGCCTTTTCTGTTTCACCGTCTTTGAGACAGACTGCCGCTCGAACGAGGTTGCTGAGTGGGTGGTTTCGAAGGTCAAAGTTATTGCTTAGACCGATTTCGAGCGCTTGCTCAGCCATTCTAAGGTTTCCTTGAGAAAGGTAAATCTGAGTTAGAGTTAAGACTTAAGTAAAATGAACTATTAACCTACGGTGGCGTGGAGAGCATGCGCATCGATACACGTGGGATCAACATCCACTGCGGCTTGACTAAATTTTAGGGCACCTTGCAAACCTCCTCTACGTAAATGGATGCAAGCCAAAAGGTAATTAGCCTTCTGGAGACCTGGTGCAATCTCCAGGATTTGTAAAAGGAGCCGCTCTGCTCTTTGTAGAAGCCTCTGTTCATCGGGCCAGAGAGAAAGTATTTCATTTTCTTCACTTACCGAGGACTTGGCGTCAAACACAATTAAAAGAGGCTGTTTCGAGAGGCCAAAATAGGCATTTACCAACTGCAGCAAAAAGTCCGGATTGAACTGAATGTAGTAATCTATGGAATGCGGAAGGTCCTACATGCGGCTCTGCAAAACCAATGTTTTTAAATACCTTCAATTCTTTGAAGTGTAAGTCCATCGCTTTGTCAAGTAAGCGCATTATTTCCTCCTCTTTTCCTTTTTGCTCGCGTAATAGCAGGGCTTGAAGATAGACCGTTTCCTAAATATTCAAATGCAGAGGGTTATTTACCACTCGACCTAATTATATTCCAACTTATAACAGTAGAGAGGCTTTGGATATGGGCATGAGTTACTTTTATAACATAAACTTACTGCTGATACCCCTATTGTAGGTAAAAGTTCATCAAGCAGTTCGAGTTGTAAGGCGGCATCTTTTATGTCTCCTTGAAGAAGTTGGCAATGAATGAGACCTGATAAGATGTAAAGATAAAACATTTAAAAGGCTAATTTGCCTACCGTTCATGCTGTCGATACTTGACTCGTCAAGTTTCAAAGCCTTCTTGTAATTTGTCAACGCTTCCTTTGTATGCTGAGTGGCTAAGTTGAGTGAGGCTGCAAGAAGCTGGATAGAACTGCTGCTGGGACATATTTCGAGAGCTCGATTAATTAAATGACTGGCTTTTTTCAACAACCGTGGATGACGACCACTCTATTACCGGAATTGCTTATTTTGTGTCATAGACTTACGAAGCGCAGAATAATTTTCGCGATATTTGCATAATGGAATGAATTATTGGGTTCGATTGCCGACAACAAGCTGATTAGCTTTTCAAGATCTATAAGCGTCTACGGATTTTGTACGGTTAAATTGTACTCTACTTGTGCATAGTTTGAAGCCCGACAAAGAGAATGAAAGACTTTGTGTGTCAAGGATGTTATACACTGAGGATTAATTTCAAGGCAGCTAATAGAATAATCAAGATTATTATTTGAACAAACCGTGATGCTGCTTCAAGGGCCTGTTCGAATTGATTTAACAGTAAAAGTACGTCAACT